TGGGAAATTTTTGTTAATCTTACTTAACACACATATTACCATCCAACAATGAAGAAAAAATACAAGATTGACTAAATCAAACCCCATTTGCAGAAGATGTATTTATTTACTTATTTTGGCAATCAGTTTAATTTCCAAAAGCAACAGAGGGTCCTGTGGCACCTTTAAGACTAACAGAAGTATTGGGAGCATAAGCTTTCGTGGGTAAGAACCTCACTTCTTCAGATGCAAGTTTAATTTCCAGTGAGACAATTTGGATTAGATCTTCCCGTGGAGCCCAAAACTTGCTGTAAATATAATTCATATTGGATGTAGTTATAGAAATAGGGTTTGCATCCCTGTTAAGATTGTGTCATTGTTTCCATTATAAACATCTTTTTTTTTTTTCTGGCAGGTTTTTTCTCTCCATGATACATTATAGCAGAATTAGCCAGCTGTATTAAAGGTGATAGTTTTTTCCCTTCCTCTTAGACCAGAGGCATCAAACACTGTTTTATTAGAGACAGGACAGTGGATTAGATGTGGTGACAATCTGTTCCAGTCTGGGTAATTCCTCTGTTAACTATACGGTTGATCCTCCATTAAGAATTTCCTTGCATACTTCAAATTCTCATTGATTTCAGTAGTATTTTGGTTGCACAAGGAATGAAAAATAAAGCCCTATGTTTCTAATTTTCAAAAATTTATGAGAATTTAGTCCCAGATCCTATAAATATGCACATGCTTTCCTTTGCTCACAGGAGTAGCTCCATTGAACCCAGTGGGTGAGATTCTATGCTGCGCCTTTAGGGGTATGCCTACACTGCGTTGTAAACCAGGGTCGGTGGGACCCAGGCTTGTCGACATGGTGTTTCCAAGCCTGTGCTTGAGCATCCACACTGCATTGTAAACCTGGGTTAACAATTGCTAGACCTGGGTCTTATAGCCATGCTTACACATCTATATTGCGCTACACCAGGGGTCGGCAACCTTTCAGAAGTGGTGTGTTGAATCTTCATTTATTCACTCTAATTTAAGGTTTCAAGTGTCAGTAATACATTTTAACGTTTTTAGAAGGTCCCTTTCTATAAGTCTATAATAGATAACTAAACTATTGTTGTATGTAAAGTAAATAAGGTTTTTAAAATGTTTAAGAAGCTTCATTTAAAATTAAATTAAAATGCAGAGCCCCCCCAGACCGGTGGCCAGGACCTGGGCAGTGTGAATGCCACTGAAAATCAGCTCGCGTGCCGCCTTCCGCATGCGTGACATAGGTTGCCTACTCCTGCACTACTCAGACCTTCTGACTCAGGTCTGCAGTTTGAGCTGAGTCCACGCTGAAAAATGGCAGGGCTTGAACTTGATTCTCAGCAGGACTTGGGCTGTGACCCATGCCCCTACCAGAGTCTCAGGACCTGGGTCCTGAGTGCTTGCTGACCTCAGTCAGACTGATTTGTGTGTGGATGAGAGGGGGACTTGGGCTCAAACCTGAGCCAGAGCCTGGGCCTAATGTGCAGTGTAGACATATCCTAAGAGGCTCGCTACTGTACTTGAAACCTGGGGAAATAGAGGCTAATGTTGCTTTAAGCCATTTGTGTGCTCCCACCGTGGGCTGCTCCAGGGGCTAGGGTGGTCACTGGGATAATTTAGACAGCACTGGTGGGCTAAGTTCTGGCAGCGTCCCTGGACTGCCCTATGGATTACAGCACTGCCTGGAATCTCTGCCGCACTGTGTGCTGCTGCCCACTCCCAGCCTGCCCCTCTGGCTCCCCACCACGCTTGCAAAGGGGTGCTCAAAGGACAGCCTGCTGCTGTCTTTCTCAGTTCCTGTGCCAGGAGAATTCTCCCCCAGCTAGAACCAGAGCGCTTAGGCAGCCTTTATGCTGCTCCAGCCCGTTTACCTCATGTACAGGGGCCAGAGCAGAGATAAGAATCACACCCAATGACACAACTTGCCTGATTTAAAATTACACGTGTGCGTAAAATTACACAGTAAAATTACTGTTTGCAGTATGGGGGTTTCTACTGTCTGAATCTGGGCAGATAAGGCCTCAACATTTTACAGGGGCTAGAACCAAATGATCTTTCACCCACTCCACATACTGAACTCCAACCTGGGCCTGTCTATTACTATTGGATTGGTTCCCAATCCATGCATGAGACCGGAGCTAGACTGAGTTCAGTGGGAAACCACTCACGAACCAGCAGCTGATTCGGGCCTTTAGCATTGAGAGGATTTTTCATTAAATGTTTTCAAAGAGTTGTTAAGTGAAAACAGATTCTTTTAAAATATGTTTCTCTTTGTAGAGCTGGAAACCCAAATACAATAGCATTGTGAGGGTGCAAGATTTGTCTAAAAATGCTGCTTAGCATTATATGATGCTTTTCATTTTCCACGTGCCTCACAGACAGTGACTTGATGCTGATCTCACACTCTTCTACACCAGTCGGACACCATTCACGCCAGTAGAGTTGCTCCTGATTTACACCAGGCGTAACAGTGATTAGAACCAGGCCTATGAAGTAATTACTCCTCAGAATGCACCTGCGAGGTAATTACCGTAGTATTTTAACCTAAGTTCACAGTCCAAGATAGGTGAGTGTTTAAATCCAAAATCCCGTTGTAGCTCAAGTGAAAGGATGATTTTGGGGTAAAGACACTGGGCCAGGAGACCTCAGCTCTGCCACAAACTTCCTGTATGACCTTTGGCAAATCATTTGACTTCTCTGTGCCTCAATTCCCCCTCTGTAAATGGAGCTAAAATACATCCTTGCTCCCACTCTTTGTCTGTCTCAAGTATTGCCCTCTGTGGCAAGGACTGTCTCTCACTATGTGCCTACACAGCACATTGCACTACAGGACCTGCTTTTTGGCTGAGGCCTCTAGGCTTTACCATAAGAACACTACTTTAAAAATTGAATAATAATATGACTTTAATGAAGTTGCACTTGGGATGAGTTTAGCCCATCTGTTTTGATAATCTAATATGTCATAAGTAATACAGATATGATATTTTGATATGATTTTTTTATCTTGTCTGTCCTTTTATATTTCCTCACTTTTATAAGTTTGTATCACATCCCCAGCTTTAACTGAATCACAGTACTTCCATGTGCTATAGTAAATCTTGATAAATCAATAAAGCAGAATAATTTACAAGGATGTATCTGGAATAATATTTTGACTGTTTCAGCTGCTTAACTTGATAAGAGAGCTTTCTACCAGGTTTGCTTTGGGGTTTAGAGAGGGACTGTAATTCCATGCTACTAACCTTCAAATGTTTCCTATAGTTAAATAATCCAAGAAACAGCAGACTTCAAACTTGAGTTTTCTATTCCATTAAAGTTGATCGCTGTAAAGTCTAGGAGTATTAAATTGACTGCAAATACGAAGGCTTTAGAAGACAGAGATGTTCCGGAACAGGGTGGCGGACAAGTTGTTTGGAGAATTTATCTCTCTCTGGCATGCTTTTATGATAATTCAAATATTAGAGATAGAGTTATAAATTATCAGTACTGTAGTAGAGACCTTATGTGCTGGAATTTATATCACTTTTCCTTTTAGACATTTAAACCACATGTTGTGCTAAAAAAATGAGGACAGAATTCCACCAAAGGAGTAATTTATTTTCAGTTTAAAACACTGGCTACATTAAAACCACATGTAAGTAAGTACTGTATAACCAAACCAAGCTCATAAAACGGCTTAAGGCACTGAAGGTAGATTAAATATTTTGGTTTTTAACTTTGGCAGAGCATGGACTAACAAGATCTACCTAAGCTACACAATACTTTAACCAGAATGGAGGTGCAAGTTCACTTGGTGAAAATCTAACATTATTAAAGTACATATACAAAACAATTTAGCCTCTTGTTAACTAACTTTTCCTATGTATCTGTGAACGGTGGAAGGTTTCTGTGCATTTGCTAGGTGACATACTGGGTTTCTGCAGATGTCCCTTCTGAAACATCATAACAATTTAATGTTTAATCTTACTACTTAACTTTTTACAAAGTCAGAATGATTTTCACTTCTAATAACTTTACAAACTTGATTAATCCTCCCAACACTCCTATGAGATAAGTACTATAATTTCCACTTACAGTGAGGTAAACTAATACGAAGAATTTAAGTGACTTGTCCAAGTCCAGAGAGGAAACCAGTATGAGAGCAAAGATTAGGACTAAGGGACTCCTAATTTCTAGGCCCACTCTCAGATGATAACTACTATTACTTTACACTTATTTAGCACTTTCCAGGCCAGATTCTCTGGTCCTTTTATGGCAGTTTTGCACTAGTATCATAGAATCATAGGACTGGAGGGGACCTTGAGAGGTCATCTAGTCCAGTCCCCTGCACTCAAGGCAGGACTAAGTATTGTCTAGACCATTCCTGACAGCGTTTGTCCAACCTGCTTTAAAAATCTCCAATGATGGAGATTCCACAACCTCCCTAGGCAATTTATTCCTGTGCTTAACCACCCTGACAGTTAAAAAGTTTTTTTCCAGCACAAAGCTTCCCTAAACCTGGTGGATGTTGGCCAGTGAAGAATTTGTCCTGTATTCAGGAATTCTGCAGTTCCATAGAGCCTGTATAATGGCTCTAACACCATTCCTCCACCTAGAGATGCCACTAAGAGTAAGGCCCAGCTGTGATAAGCAATGTAGCAATGTGCAAATACAGTGTGTGAGAGACTCCCTGCTCCAAACAGCTTGCAGTCTAAATAGACCTAATAGAAGCTGTGCTGCTGGTAGACAATGTTTTCACCCCTCAGCTCATAGAGAGCCGATGTATACACAGGATCGTACCAAAGAGAAGCAGTGAGGATATAACTTTTTTGATTTTCTTTCATTTTTTTCCTATTTCTAAACACTCAGGTAACAATACACCATCCAGGATGAAAGGATCCATTTCTTTATTTGGGTCTCTGAACCTTCTTCCTTGTTTATACTTTGGGCTATCACCTATTCTCTCTTTAATGTTGCATCATTAATCTTGTTTGTTTTCTCCCTTGCCTTAGATGTTTCCAGGTGTGTGGCAGAGAGGAAATACACCCAGGAACAAGCACGCAAGGAGCTTCAACAAGTTTTCATTCCCGAGTGCAATGATGATGGCACATACAGCCAGGTTGAAAAGTTTTGGCTCAGTATTTGTATGCCTTGCTGTTCAGCATGCTTGGGTGTTTGTGATTCAGTGAGGGAATTACATTAACACTGACGTTTAGAAGTGGCAGGATAGTAGGGTGACCAGACAGCAAATGTGAAAAATCAGCACGGGGGTGGGGGGTAATAGGAGCTTAGATAAGAAAAAGACCCAAAAATCGGGACTGTCCCTATAAAATCGGGACATCTGGTCACCCTAGAGGATAGATCATTTTTGTACCTTGGCTTCTCTTCAGAAATGATCAACAAAGTAGCTGAATGTGATGTTGATTATTGTGATGTGCACCCCATTCCACTAGGGTGAGACAACCAAGTCATTTCTCATAGCTCTCTGACGAGTCATCAGCTGGTAAAATGTGTATGATTTCTGTCCTGTTCCTGATCCAAACCAGTAATCTTGTGGTAAAAGAGTCCATATCCTATTGCCAATGCCATGAGTAATACAGTAATCCTCCCTAGCCCCTGCTGGATTTCTGTTCAGGCATCATGGACTGAGTTACTCAGGCGAAGATTTAGAATCCAAGAGGGGTGCAATTTGAAGCATTTATCACAGTCAGATACATACTAAGCAGGACTGTCTTCTGTTACCATTATAATAAGTTTAAAAGGTAGGGTCATGTAGAAAGTTACCATAGTCATTTTTAAGTATAGCTAATAGTTCACATTTACTATTTATAAATATCAGTATGGTAGAAAAAGTGACATTAGACTCCAGGGGAGATGTTAAAGATGTTGGGATTTATAAAGCAATTAATCTAAAGTAGGCATTCCAGTAGTTTGCTCTCTGAGAGTTTGAGGCATGAATAATGCTAGAAAAAGTGCTGTATCCTGTTGTTACTGTGTGTGAGATGATATGTTGCCTATCTGGAAAAAAGCTAGAGAGGGCTTACTTCAGGAACAGAGACAGTCAATCCACGTGTCCCCTAGGGAGCTTTTGTGAGCTTTTCATAATGCCTGTATCTTATTCTTTCAGTATAAGACATAAAATAAGCAAACACACATTAATAGCTTTCTCCTCAGTTCTCCACTGAAGCACCTACTGTACAGTGCTTGAGGGAAGCTCTGCTTTTATGCTTTAAGGATATTCATCAGACTTGAATTATGGTCTATTAATGGATTATCTTACTAGACACAGAAAAAGACGTTTGATATCTTTAAAAATATATTCTACTGGAGGACTCCATTGTACTCAAGAGACATATATAAATATATACTCTATGTGCCATGAACATTTCAATATGGTCAACATATGTCTCATAGATTTCCCTCACTTGATGTCATTTCCTGACAGGTTCAGTGTCATAGTTACACAGGATACTGTTGGTGTGTCACTCCCAATGGACGTCCAATCAGCGGTACAGCTGTAGCACATAAAACTCCACGGTGTCCAGGTAAGTAATGATTTAGTTTATCAGTGACATTCATCTATTTTATCTACCTGTTTCAGTTTTTAGGATTTTGTACAGTGCTCATCAACATGATATCTATGTGCCAACATATGGTGCCACGCAACAGCATTGCTGACATGATTATTCTTATATCTTATAATTTTCTTGTAAACTCACTGCAAATATTCCATAGAGTTTTACTTTTTAAACATTTTAAGTATTGAGAATAAATAAAAAAAAGAAACACTGTTCAAGGTTTGGTACTGTGAAAAAAAATTCTCACCAGTAGCCAAACCTGGGTTGTGGGTGGGGGGGACAAATCCCCACACTCCCTTTTCAATAAAGATGAAAAGTAGCATTAACATCAACGTTAAACCACTGTTTGTAGAAAATGAACAACAAACAAAAAACTGCCATTCCCACAAGTTTTTACCTTAAACCAGTGCACACGAACAAATTAACCAGTTTTTAGAGACTGCCTTTTAGCCTCATTTCAAACATGTCAAAATGTATGATAAGTCAGAATTGTACAAGCAGTTGTAGCAATTACTCTTCTAGGTGTTTTAGGTCAATACAACTGCTCCCTTTCTACAGAGAGAGCACTAACGATATTGCAGCTTTGTGAACTGCAGCAGTACTACTCCCTGCACTTTAAACTTCTTGTAGTGGTGGTATTAATTGACATCTTGGCTCCCTGGAGAGATCCCATCTCCTAGAACTGGAAGGGACCTTGAAAGGTCATTGAGTCCAGCCCCCTGCCTTCACTAGCAGGACCAAGTACTGATTTTGCCCCAGATCCCCAAGTGGCCCCCTCAAGGATTGAACTCTCAACCCTGGGTTTAGCAGGGCAATGCTCAAACCACTGAGCTATCCCTCCCCCCCTGGAAGATTGGCGGAGTTGAAGAAACTGAGATATGGCTTCTGGTGGGGCTCCCTTACCTCTAGTTAAGCAATATTTTCAGAGCAGAAACCTTTATTATTATAATAATAATTCCAAGAAGGGAGACGACCAGAGAAGAAGTGAATATGTAAGAACAAAAGAACATCAAAATTTCAGGCTGCTTTTAAGCCCTGTGTGACTTAAATGGTGTGGAGAACCTTGCAAGTGTCCTGTCCTACGGTAGATTTTACCCCAGGATCCATAAAGTTCAGTTTAGTCCAGTGATCTAGTCCAATCTAGCATAAATGCTGAAGAGTCACTTTGGAGTCAGAGTTGCCAAGAGCCACATAAAATGTTTACAAGTTTTAAGATTCAACAATATGCACAGAAGTGTATTTTAATGTAATGATTGATACAAACTCTGACCCTGATTCAGGACCATATTTAAACACTTAAATGTTATCCTAAATAGGGATGGACGTAAGTAGTGCTTAATTGCTTTACTTAATTGGAGCCTCCATCAGGAGTTTTGCAATATCAGTGATCATGAAACCTAGTAGCGCCCTCAATTTCACTAACCGCAACAAAAAAGGATTATACATGTGCTGAAATCTCAATAAATAATTGTCTTATAGCTCTGTCACAATGTGTGGCATTAATTTCTGGTCCACAGTTCTGCTGATTTACTTACTGGACAAGCAAATTCATGGGATTTTTCATGTTCAATGTAATCAAGAAAAAAATGTAGTTAGTTTCAGATGCTTGATTAATCAAGACACAAATTGTTCAGTTTCTTCACTTACACTGATAAAGTGTTTGCTTTGTTCAATCAACATCATAATGTGAGCCAGAATATATCCACAAGAAACCCATCTTTCTTCTGTATTCAGAACCAAGGCCCCAATTTTGCAAAGACTCATGCATGTACTTAGCTTTACACACATCAAGTAGTCCCACTAAAGTCAATGAGTCTACTCACAGTGCATAAAGCTAAGCATGTGTGCAAGTCTTTGTGGGATCAGGGTCCAAATCAGTGCATAGGACCTGATTCTGCACCACTAAAGTTAATGATTGTTTTTCCATTTATATCAGCAGATGCAGGACTGGGCTTGTAATGTCTCAAATACCTAGGAGGGGATTTTGAAATACTGGTGATAAAGAACTTAGTCTTACTTAAAGAGGACTACGCAACCACCTCTTTGTATGGGAGACAGTGCTACAAATTTTACAAAAAGTTATGCAGTGAAATAACACAATCCCCTGTGCTAATTTTGTAGAATGACATTCTTGATGAAGCAGAGCTGCAGTTCTAGTCTGTTTTCCAGTCTGTTTCCAGAATCGCCATCTGTCACGACTGGAGAGATTTTTTCCAGAAGGAACATTGATGTTTTCCATTACATCTACTATTTGCTTTTATCTTTTTTCCCCTTTTCTATCATTATGCACAGGAATGATGCCCAAAATATCATTACTTACACAGAGTTCTTACTTGCTTCTGTCTTAATTAGTTCTTTTGGGATATCACAGACTCTCAACCACGCCAAACTGATAAACTGTGCAGTTTCTGGCCTATCCTCAAGAATTCCCGTGCTATAACTTGATATTGCAAGTGCACATCTTACAGCAGTGGAATCTGACAACTGAACGGTCATGTATTCTTCAATTGCCTATGCTTTTCTGGAGACAGAATGTTGTGGTTAGTTCCAAGGAGGTCTTTGATTATTCCAACATTTACACATACAACTTCATCACCTTGACTTTCATATGAGTGCTTGTATGGTACCACTGTTACCTGCTATCTCACATGGCTTACTTCATGGAACTTTTGCTAACAGATGTGTTTCTTCTTTATTTAAGGGTATGGATTTATTTGATACATGGATTTACTTGCACATGAATATTCAGCTTCCAGACAAAAATGCTTAATATAATAAAGTACATATCTCTCTTGGTTTGATCTTTTGTGGTGGGATATTAGATATGGAGTCCTGAACCAAAGAACACTTTTTTCTCCATTCCTTAGGAAAGGTCTTGCGTTCCTATTCATATTTATATTTCTTCAAACAGAGCATGGATTTTGAAGTATTTGATGTTTGCTTTTTCACATTGTTATTTTTTTTCAGCTTCTGTTTATATGTTTAACCAGCTCATGAAATAACAGTTATGATCAGGAAAGTCCTTACTCAAGCCTGTAGTATTCTAGATGTGGCCTTTGCCAATCCTGAACCTTTTCTTCTATCTTGCTTTACTCAAATATATTACACATATTTCACTTCTTTTTGGTTCTCCCTGGTGGATCCCCTTGTTTTGTACGTGACAGTAAAGAGGATCATCTTCCAGTCCTCCATCCTTCCTGCCTACATCTTTGCTCTTGTTTCTTATTACATCCCTTTCCCCTCTTACTCCATGAATGAGTTCAGCCTCACTGATCCTTTCATTTCCTTCTCCCACACTCCTCTTCTGCATTCTTCAGTGAGTGTCACCAGTTAAATCTGGAACACATTCCCTATCCCAGTGCTCCAGGGGTGCACCCTCTGCATTAAAACCCTCCCTGAAAACTTACTGTACTTCTTCCCGAAGGCCTAAAACTCTAACCAACACCTAGTGATACTGCCATCCCCACTCCTCTCTGTAGCTAGTAAAATTAGTTATGCTCTCACCATATGAGTCTCCCCATGGGCTCTTGTCTTATCCTTGTATTGATTGTAAATTTCTTGGGCAACTACTATTTCTGTTTTCATTTTTTGTACAGTGCTGACCACACTGTCAGTGTAATAACCCCCACCAGTTTACACCTGTGACCTTTGACACTTCACTTGAATCCAAAGTAGACCCAAATCCTGTAAGCAGATTCATGCAGAAAGATGCTTGCTCCCATTCAAAATCCTATTGACTTCAGCAATTTTGACTTCAACAGAGCCTGGCATGGAAGTGGGAGTCTGCCTTTACAGATCAAATAGCATGGTCCTTAGCCTTGGTTAGTATTTCACCCTATTTAGTGGAGATTTTCCAAAACTCCCTTGGCTATGCCAGCTACCATGATAGTAGAGTCTTTTTCTGCACTTATGTTTTATTGAGGCAGTTACTGTTAAGTCCATAGAGTTTATAGTGATTCACCCATGATGCTGGAAAAATACAGTACCGGAAATTCCTAACAATACCTAAAAATACCAGTATTCCTAATATGAACAATTAAAACTGTAGCTCTTGAGAACCTAATGGCAGTTTGCTGCTCAGCCATTTATTTTCTGTTTTGAAGGCTTTCAAATCTGCATGCCAGATTTGTGATGTCAGATAGTTTTTCTCTGGCAAACTTCCTTGTCTAAACTTCATGCTGAAGTGGCCATCAGTTCAGTATGGTAAACAAGACTTTTGACGCAGTGATTCACTTATTGAAATCCTTATTTTAGATCAACAAAAACATTCTGCAAGATTTTTTTATTTAATTTTAATTCTCAGTGAATTTAGCACTTCTGAAGAGAACTGAATTGAGACAACCAACTCATTTCACATAGGCTGCTGAACAGTTATCAGGTGGTAATGATTTTTCATTACTATCAGCCTGGGTAACAAGATTTGAACTGGCGAGAAGTGATAGGCTTTATATTTTGTTGACAAAGCAGATTGAGAGGTGACTTGATCACAAAGTATAAATACCTTCACCGGGAGAAAATACTGGGTACTAAAGGGTTTATTAATCTAGCAAAGAAAGGCCTAACAAGAACCAACATCTGGACATTAAAGCCAGACCAATACAGATTAGAAATAAGACACACATTTTTAACAGTGAGGGTGATTAACCACTAGAACAAACTACCAAGGGAAGTGGTAGATTCTCCATCTCTTGTTGTATGTTCACACTGTACTCTTCTTTTGGTGGCCAGTAGAATCCATACTTGCATAGCCCCTTAGCAAGGGTATGCACAACACTGGAGCCAGGAAGGCACAGCTTAGGCGAATAGAGTAAAAGATGAGACTGAAGGGTGTGGGTATGTGGGCAAGTACATACTCTACATTCTCTCTACTCCCTGTCTACACTGTTGTTTTTCAGCTGTGTATTGTCCCATTGCCTACTTGCTGCTGAATCCTTCAGAGGAGAAAGACTATGTCAGGTGAGAGGCAGTGGAGAAAGACATGGGCAGCTACCCACTGTGTAACCTTTCTCTACCACAGGAAAAGACTCTGGTAGAGGAAAAAGGCTCTGCCAGCTCCCCACTACTAGAATCCTTCCCCTGCCACACAGAAAGGCTCCAGCAGTGGGGAAAGGCTCAGTCAGCCTTGGATGCAGTGTGGACACAGTCTGCTTTTCATTGTGGCATGTAGCTGCACATACTGACAGTGGTGTGTAGTGTAGATGTAGCCTTGACATCTTCAAACCAAGACTGAGTGCCTTTCTGGGAGATATACCCATACACAAGTTATTAGGCTTAACACAGGAGTTACTGGATGAAATTTAATGAGCTGTAATCAAATCAGATTAGATTATCTAAAAATTTTCTGGCCTAAAAATCTATGAGCAAACCTCACAGCTGTGTAATCCACTTCATATTGCTTTTTGCAATCACAGTAGCACTACTAGTAATAATTGCTAGAAACTCTAGCTGGGATTTTCAAAGACATCTAAGGGATTCAGGCACCTTACTCCCATTAACATTGAGTAGGATTTGGACACACAAATCCCAGACTACAGTCTTAAAAAACAAACAAACATTAACATAAATCTTTCTGAAATATGATCAGATTGGCATCACATGTGGACTAATTCAGCATCACATTCCAATGCTTCAGAAAGACAGCATTAAGTAGAGCTCTTGGTCTTAGGTTTTAAATGAATTTGCGCAGAAATTCGAGGTGGTTATGAAAAAAAGTCAACATTAGAACTGGTCAGAAAAAGTTATTTTAGCATTGAAAAATTCAATGAAATTAAAAACAATGATTTTGGCAAAATTTCCACCAAAAATTTGACTTTTTGGCAAAAAATCTAAACTTGACAATTTTTGGCTGAAAATCGACAATATTTGGTTTAAAAATGAACATTGCTATTAGGAAATGCCATTATGACCATCTACGCCAGCTGACAATCTACCCCTAGGGTTGTTATAATACTCCAAACTAGGCAAAAATCATGTTCTAATCTTGAGGTTTCATTACTATAAGTTGCCAACTATTCCACTTTTCAAGCTTTTTATTACCGATCTATAATAATCGGTCTTTAGTTTCTGCAATATGACTTGCTGAAAATGCACAGTTTCTCAGTGTTTTCTGCCAGGTAATAATACAATAGATAGTTGCTAAATCCATCAAAAGATAACTTAATTTAAATTGAAATTGTCCCTAATTTGCATAACATTCTAACATAATAATTCCTCACGTTATAATAATGGCTCTTAATGAACTGGTCCATTTCTTGTTTTTAATGTATATTCAATCCGATACCAAGAAAAAGAAATCAGATTAAACCCTCACTTTGTTCTGAAACTATTTTTATAGATGAGCAATAATAAAGCATTTGGTAATCTTTAGCAGGTGTTTAATGAATGATGCATTGGCTCAACTAGGGCATGATTCAAAACTCTTTGAATTAATGGGATTTTTTTTTAAAGACTGTCTGTTTAGTTTAGGGTTTTTAATGCTGTCCATCACCATAGTATCTAATTACCTTGCATGTAAAATCAGTAACAATAGAAAAGTCTGTAGTGGACTTCATGGAGCTTCTGAATCACCTCTCTTTTCATGGTAAAAACTATACTTGGGGTATGCTTGTTTGTTGTTTATTTGGGTTCTTTTGGTTAATTTGTTTGTGTTACAGTTTTTTACTTCTATTTTTAATTTTAAAAAACTGGGGGAGGGGCTGTTTATTTGGGTAGATGAGGCTGTCAGTACTGTTAGTGTCATTCTTGCTATGGTGGAAAGGCTTTTTCAAAGAGGAAGGGCTTGCAGTGTTTCCTAAAGATGATCGATTATTGATTTCTCTAATGTGCTCTGGAAGTTCGTTCCACAACCGGATCCCCTTGACTAAAATTGTGTTGTCCCCAGCTCTCACATGCTTCATATTGGGCTTTTTGAGGTGGAAGTTAGGTTTTACACACGTCTGCTATTAATTCCTTAGCGGACAGAACCCTTTTAGGGCCTCCTTCTGCTTCTGTTAATGTCAATTCATAGATTTTAAGTCCAGAAAATGTCCATATTTCATTAGAAATCCAGTGCCCCTATTTCTTCTTAACGGGCAGGACTTCCTCTCATTTTTATTACATGGATGTTTGATAAAAAGAACTTTTGCCTGTTTTAATCAACAGTTTTTCAGTTTTATCAATTTTTTGCCATCACAACATTTCCAAGGAATTTCATGACAAAGATCAAGAATTGTACCTCCAATTTAATAAGCCTAAACTGGAAATTAAAGTAAACAAATAAAAGTAGTTGCAACATAAAACAGATAATTTGTGCAATACAATTTGCTGTTTCTTATTTTTCAGTTGTGCAGATAAATACACTTTGATCCACCAAACTATGTAATTTGCAGACACAATTTAAGTGCATTTATATTTGAAAGTGTAGCTGTAAGTGTGTTATATGGGATTTCTGGACACTGAACATGAACAAACCACTCTAAATATTAAATGCCACAACAATTAAAAAATCTTTACAAATATTTTGTAAAAATTAACGTATTTAATTTTTCATTTTGTTTCCTCATTTACATATATTAAATGTAATTATTTGAAGTATACAACTACTGTCAATACGGGGTCCTGGATTCACCAGTCCATCAAATTCACTTTGTGATGCCTATGTTGTACTTAAAGCAGCCAGAGATTTGTCCTGGAGAGTCCCCCCTGCGTAGGAGGAACTGATGTAAAGCTAGTGGAGGTAGCTGTGCTGAGGGGAGGGTATGTTGGGGTCAGAGTGGCAGCGTGGCAGAGGGGAAGAGAGATGGCATGGTGAAGCAATGCTCTGCTATACCCATTTCTCCACCAGCATAAAGTCCCAGGAATGGGGGCTTACATCAGTGATATAAATTAAAGCTGTCTCCTGCTACTTTAACATATGACAGGACTGGATAAATGAGATCAGGGAGCCTTGACTGGCTCTTATCAGTCTCCCCTCTCTGTTGTGTCCAGGAAGATCTCAGAAACCCATGGATAACAAATATTGATATAAAGGGTTTGATCTTGCAAATGGAGCCATGTGGGGGGACTCCTATACCCGGCAGAGCCCTATTGAAGTCAATGGAGTTTCACACAGGTGTAAAAGTCTGCAGCATGGATCTGATTGCAGGATATGGGCCTATGACTGTGGTGCGCATGAGCATGTTTTCTTGCACGTGTATTCATCTACTGTGCCTGGGTTCTCCTTGGCTTAGGTACGGTGGTGACCACAACCAAACACCTCACCCTAAATTGATCATGAGCAAATGTCAGTACCGGGCCAAGCCAAAATCCATTGGCTTACAAAGGAAGAAGTGTCTGGTATTTATGCTAACACAAACAGAGGGGAATAATTTAGACTAATGTGTGTCACTACGAAGGTGAGTTGATAATGAAAGTAATTTTTTCTGGTTTATACTTTTTTCCACTTCCAGGGTCTATAACTGAGAAGTTGCCACAACGAGAAGGTGCAGGAAATACAGGTAAATGTCTTAGAATGTTGTGGTTTTTTTTTAAACCATGCAAACTAGTAAAGTTGCAGGATTTGAAACCTTGACCTTTCATAAGTTTGAAATGTCAGTGCATGGTTGGTTTTTTTGTTTTTGTTTTTTTTACTTGTCCAGCCTCATTCCTAGAGATTTTGCTGCATTGGGCTAACTGGAAAATAAATTCCCTTCCCAGCCCATTGCTACCCTCCCAGTAAACTGTTGTTACGTTTTTAATTGCCCCAAATATTCTCTAGCCCTGGATGGCAGCCTGTACTGTCTGTCTGGTAAAACCAGCACTGTCTAGCCCCAAGATCCAAGGAACTGATGCCATAATTTGATCTCCATGGTAACCTGGACTTGACTCATCTGAGGCCTGGCACTTTGTTCTCTACTGTGATGAGTTCAACTGATGACTTACATTCATAGCCAAAGAGTTGCTGCTATTAAAGATACATCCTCATGTATAGATCCTATAATAATTCATGTTCCTGGGGCAAATTCTTGTGTGATGTGACTCCACCCAGGTTGAAGGAGTTATATCAGGGATGAATTTGTGCCCTTATCTTAAATAAACTGAAGACCAAAAGAAAAATAAAAAAGTAGCAATTCTAAAGGCAAATTAAATTATTTAACCAAATTATACTCTCTGTAATGCTGGTGTAAATGGACTTTAAAGGGTTTGCTCCAGATTTATGCCAGCATAAATAAAAAGACTATTTGGCCCAATGTAGTTACAGTTGATTTATGATTTTGCAGGAATTTTAGCCTGAATTTAATATGACCAATGTAAGTGGTGCTTGATGTTCAGAAAATCAGTAACTGTTTGAAAGTTAGTTATTAAAAGATATGTTAATCAGCAGAGGAAACATTTCCTTCATGTGTTTACCAGATAGCCTTTGGGTTCCACTGACCTCCAGTTAGCCACAGACTGCTAGGGAAGCTTGCTCTGGGTCATGAATTTCATTCTTGGGTGTGAACTACGTTAACTGTTCCCATGTAAAGAACTTGCCTGGGTCTTGGAAACCTTTTGTTTTTGTCTGTGAGCCTTTCTCCAGAGAGCTGAGCAGTGGTGAAGATTAAATAAATGAGCCTTCCTGTCTTCATTCAACTCTGCCTGATTGATATATATATATATATATATATATATATATATATATATATATATATATATATATATATATATATA